TTTATTTACCACAGAGAGGCAAACTGAACGAGAGCGCTGAAAGCATATTAGAATGTAAGAACACAATAGGATATAATGGTCTTGCCTTTCAGCTCGGCGTCTTTCAATGAAAGTCAGTATATGGCCATTTTAATGAGACGCTTTTTCAAATTAAACTTCTTTGTGCGTTGCCACAGTTAATACTATTATGGAAGTGCAATATGTTAGGCATAAAATACAAATGCTTGAGTCGGTTAGCCAGCCTTGAGAGGCTGAATCAGCGTGCGACCTCATAAACGAGCTGTAGTAATGAATGTACTATTAATGAAATGACATCTAAACATCCCAAACATCCAGATAAATGAATTTAGAGGCCGTTTGTATCTCCTACGTGTCGTCACTTCTAGGAGAAAATCAATGCCTGCATGTCTGATTTCAAAAGCCCCTGCACTCTCTGACAGCTGCTAATGCACTCCTGCTTGTTTGACATGTTATCTCACTCTGTACTTGTTAAGGCTGGAAATCCATCATAGTTTAATGCAATTTCAAATCACTCAGAATGACTTCAAGCGCCCATTTGATGCTGGAAGATGGTGCACTTACACAGATTGTTAATTAAACAAAGAGGAGCGCGGAGTTTGACTTGAGATAAGCAGCTTGGTATTTTAATCGCACCCCCATCCCTTTATGATAAAACGAAGGCGTAGAAACATCAGCTTTGAACGGTATTTGGTTTAACAATACAATCTAGTGGAGCGATCTGCTGAGAATGTCCCCCCACTGATGTGTCGAAATCATTCGTCTTAAAAGAGCAGATAAAGGACTACAGCAGCGTGATGTTCAAATTCTTATTAAGATAGAGCCGGCTCTGACAAACTTTGAATAGTTACAGGTGGGATCAAAGCAGAAGTTTTTTCCCCCTGTGTAATTTAGTGGGAAAGCATTTATGGTATTTAATGTGTATCAGAGGAAGCTTGGTCACCATACATCAGTTAGAGCACATCATTGATCTTGTGCTTTAAATGCTCAGTCTGTGTGTGAGGAGGTGAAAAGTGTTGGGATGGTGAAAAGTCATATCAGGTCGACCTGACCATACAGAGGGGAATCTGCCCCCTTTGGTAACTTGATACATTTTTAGATGGAAGAAGAGTGAACTGGTGTTTGCTCTGAAGATGATGGACCATAGATGGCTGTTTACTGACATCTAGTGGTCAAAATTATTAAAACTCTCTTCAATTTGTGGCTAATATGCGAGTTTTGGCATTCGATTCATGCTTTTCTGATGTTTACAACTGGCTGGAACATAGATGCAATGCAATAATGAATAATAAGAGAAATGTTAAGTAAAGTGAAAACAATCAAAACTATTTATCCTGTCACACTCAGATCTGCAGTTTGTTGTGTTTATCACAGCAGGGCTCACAGTAGTTACTGAAATATCTTTTGTTTCAATAAATAGCCCGCTCTTAATTTTAGTGTGCTTTAAAAATGATAACACTGGCATCAGTGTTGGTATTAACTACTGGTATTAGCTCATCTTAATGACTTGCTACTGTTTTGGTGTCATGTATTTACTGTGTAATCTGTGGCCTGCAGTTTAGGTTTCTCTTTAAGTGGCAAAAGACAAGGGAGGAAATTTTACACCACAGGGCTAACTCTGGCTTATTTAGTTATTTTCCTGTTTGTGAATAAGCACAGTCCATTTCAAATAAATCAAAATTAAATCAAAATGTTCAGAGTTTCAGATCTTTTCCAAAGCTCCATGTCCAAAAAGGTAGTTTAAAATGTAAATAAAAACAATGCAAAGATTTGCAACTTCCTGGCCCATATTTCACTCACAGTTAAACAGAGAAAACCTATTAAACACATATAAGTGTTTAAACTGAGCATTTTCAGAAAAAAGTGTGGCACTTTTGAATTTGGTGGCAGCAATACGTAGCAAAAAGTTGGGCAGAGGCAACAAAAGACTGGAAAATGAAGTCATAGTAAGAAACAGCTGGAGGAGCATTTCGCATCTAAGAGCACCTTTGGGGGGCAGAGGTTCGAATAATTTCAGAATAATGTTCCTCAGTGTAAAACTGTGAAAACTCTGAATGTTCTCATAATAACAGCACATAAAATAGAAAGTTTCAGAGAATCTGGAGAAAAATCTGCTCAAGGGACAAGGCTGAGAATCAGTAGAAGATCTCTGTGATCTTTGGACCCTCGGGCAGCACTGCATTAGAAACAGGGATGTTTCTGTCATGGAAATCACTGCATGAGCTCAGAGACGTGTCCAGAAGTCTGAAGTTCACAGAAGTCTGTGAACATAGTTCATCATGGCATCCACTAATGCAGGTTACTTTATTAAAAGAAGAAGCCATATGTGAACATGATTCAGAAACACTGTCTTCTTGGGGCCAAAGATCTAAAACAGACTGAGGCAAAGTGAAAAAAACTGTTCTGCAGTCAGAAAAAACAAAATTAAAATTTTTTTGGTGAACATGGACTACCACATCTGGACTGAAAAGAAAGGACCATCCTACTTGTCATCAGCACTCAGTTCAAAGCCTGCATCTCTGATTGTATCATGGTACATCAGCTTGCACATCTGTAAAAGCACCATATGGTCCCATCCAGATGACATGTTTTGTTGGGAAGGCCTTGCATATGGACAATCCTAAACTACATACTGCATCTATTATAACATCTTTGTAAAAGAAGACTCGGGCGCTGAACATGCTGATGAAACAAAACATATGACAAAGAAGACCCAGGACTGTAGAACAGCTAGAATCACATATCAGACAAAAAGGGGGAAACAGCTGGTCTCCTCACTTTCCAGATGTTTACAGACTAGTGCTGAAATGCTACACGATAAGGAACATGGCCCTGTCCCAATTTTTTTGAGACATGTTGCTGCCACCAAACTCAAAATGAGCTAATATTTTTCTTAATATGGTTAATTCTCCCAGTTTTAACATTTTTCTTTAATGTTTCTATTATTAATAAAAATGTTTGGAGTCTGCCAAAAGTGTGACTTTGGTCTGGAGACTGGTGAGGATAACTTAAAACACCATTAGCCCTGAACTGAAGAACTAAAGGCTTTTTGTTAGTTTCGTTACGTTAGGATATTCTAATAATTGTTAATAGACGGAAATAGTATTTCTGTCTTTTTGGTGAAATTGACGTTGATGCGTTCATTATGTGAGGATTCACTGCCATCTAGTGGTCACAGTTTGAAACAACAGCGGGCGACCGTGGCTCAGGGGGTTGGGAAGCGTATCTGTAACCGGAAGGTCGCCGGTTCGATCCCTGGGCTCTCTGTCCTGGTCGTTGTGTCCTTGGGCAAGACACTTTACCCTACTTGCCTACTGGTGCTGGCCAGAGGGGCCGATGGCGCGAAATGGCAGCCTCGCTTCTGTCAGTCTGCCCCAGGGCAGCTGTGGCTACAACCGTAGCTTGCCTCCACCAGTGTATGAATGCGAGAGTGAATGAATAGTGGCATTGTAAAGCGCTTTGGGTGCCTTGAAAAGCGCTATATAAATCCAATCCATTATTATTATTATTAAATTTGTATCAAAAGATCGAATTATTATTTCTCACTCGTGTTGGCCATTGTATTGTCACAGAGCTCCGTTAATAACACTTTTCTGCAGTTTTCACTGCAAGCTAACACGTATCCCTCGTGTTATCATTTTTTGTGGGTTTGGTTACACTGTGCGTCAGGGTGGCAGTGTGCAATAGTGACGGGATTTCCGGCTCTTTTTAGAGACCCGGCTCTTTTTAGAGAACCGGCTCTTTCGGTTCGACTCACTAAAAAGACCCGGATCTTTCGGCTCCGAACCGGCTCTTCAGGTTGTTTTGTTGCTTTAATTAATTTATTATTAACAATAATATAAAATTATGCACAAAAGGAATTACTAACGTAAAAACAAATGGTTTTATTTATATATGTTTATATATAAATATATGCGGTGGCCCCTAGAGACAAAACACGTACAAACTCCAAAACACATTTCTAGCATGAACTGAACTTCCAAAGCAGAGCTACTAGATCACTTAAATTACACAACTGAAAGCATGTGTGTATTGTTTGTGTATTTATACACAGGCACTCATATATATATTCAAATAATTTAAAAAAAAGTTCATTTACCTGTTACTACCACACACCAAATCCGGTCGTTGGTACTTGCTGGCTTGTGTAGCCACAAGATAACAAAGGCTCAACACTGCGCCCAGCATCCTGGAGCACTTCTGTTGTCTTTTTTACGTGTTTTGAGTTTTTATGTGCTTCTGAGTTTGTACGTGCTTCGGAGTTTGTATGTGTTTTTACGTGTTTTGGAGTTTTTACGTGTTTTGGAGTTTGTACGTGTTTTTACGTGTTTTGGAGTTTGTACATGCTTCAGAGTTCGTACGTGATTTGAAGTTTGTATGTGCTTTGTCTCTAGGGGCCACCATAAATATACTTTTATTTATTCACTCCACATAAAATGTAATAAATAAATCATATAATACAAAAATCAACTATTCACATTTCAAGTTTTAACTATTTAAATTTTCAGCTTTTTCCTTTCACAAATTTAAAGTGAAAAGAACACAAAACACTGCAAACCACAACACAATTAAATATAAATTATAATATGAAAACAAAAAGAACATGCATATTCTCTGTCATATGGACCTGCATGAATAAACTTTCTCAATCCTTTATCATCTGCAACCGAAAATAGTTGTGGATGATTACTATACCTTTCTAATGTTGTTGTCCCTGCCTCTCTTTCTCTCTCTCTGGCTCTGTTCCTGTGCTACTGAGTGTAACTACCGCCCCTCCCCCCTCTGCCCAGCGTAAAGCACAAGGCTCGCGTGCAGAGTGAAGCGGAAAAAAAGTGCGAGAGAGAGGCTGAGAGAAAGAAAGAAAAAAAAAACCCACGTGACGGCTCGCGATAAGGAGCCGGCTCGCGTCGTTCACGTCAAAGAGCCGGCTCTAAGAGCCATTTCGTTCGCGAACGACCCATCACTAGTGTGCAAGCAGCGCCTCTCTGCTCCACCACAGATTGCAGCTGCATTGAAGCACTCTGCGGTCAAATGATCTAGAAACACGAGCGTATCTCAGAAACAGCCAGTCTCTGTCTCTCTCCAGGATTTCAGCTATTTTTAAAAAAACATTTTGAAGGCTTCACTACAGTTTCTCCATCAGAATGTCGTCATCTGAAAGTGCTGCGTCACATGAAGGTATGCCCATTACACTTGTGTTGCATTACTTTGGATTAGCAAGCTGTGAACGATCAAATCACTTACCCTTTGAAATGTAAATGTGCCTACATGATTTAATATTATATATGTTGCCTGGATGTGCATGCATTATATTAATGTCAAAGGTAATTATGACACACACATGACTCTCTGTTTGGCAGTCAGTGAAGCATCAGCCCCCACATCAGAGGCTGAATCTCTGAGGATCGTTCTGCTGGGCCGGACCGGGACAGGCAGAAGCTCCTCTGGCAACACCATCCTGGGAAGGTCTGCGTTCCTGGTGGACGTGTCCCCCTGTTCTGTAACCGCACGATGCAAGAAACAGAGCGGGATAGTGGGAAGGCGGAGTATCTCCGTCATTGACACTCCCGGGCTCTTCCACACACACCTGTCTTCTCAGGAGGTTATGGCAGAGGTGGGACAGTGTGTTGGTTTCTCTTCTCCGGGACCCCACGCCTTCTTGGTGACACTGCAGCTCGGCAGGTTCACCCATGAGGAGAGGGAGGCCTTTGAGTGGATCAAAGCTAGATTAGGGCCTGGAGTAATGAGGTTTACGATGGTGCTGTTCACCTGTGGTGACCAGCTGAAGGGGAAACGCATCGAGGACTTTCTAGAGGAGAGCCAGGAGCTGTCTGAGTTTGTCAGCAGCTGCTATGGAGGATATCACGTCTTTGATAACAGCAGGCAGGAGGAAACAGATGAATGTTCACATCAAGTCATGCAACTTTTGGAGAAGGTGGACCAAATTGTGGCTAAGAATGGAGGCGGTTGCTACAGCGATGAGATGCTGAAGGAGGCTGAAGGTGCCATAAGGGAGGCACATGAGAGGATTCTGGGTGAAGCTGGGCACGTGGTGGAGTCTATTCAGACAGAGGCTGAGGTCCCAGAGGGGCGGCTGCCAAGATTGGAAAAGAAGTGGGAGGATGAGGAGAGGAGAAGGGAGGAAGAGGAGGCCCGGAAGAGAGCGGAGAGGCTTTTCTGGTGCGAGCTGGTGACCGCCCTGGGGAAAGGTGCTGCGGAGGGGGCAGGGATCATGGGAAAGGACAAGGGGAAAGGGAAAGCTGTGAAGAAGGCGAAGGTGGTGGAGAAAGTGGCAGCTCTGGCTGCGTCTCCGCTCTCTGTCAGGTCGGCTGCGAAAGCAGTGGGAGGGGCCGTGAGAGAAGGAAGCAAGGTGCTATACAAACACAGAAAAACTTTACTGCGCTGAAAGGTAAATCAAAGAGACAGGACACAACGAAACCCACGTGGTGAGGACAAGTCACTTGATGTAAGGCCAGCTGGACTTCTTTAGGTTTTGAAGACGTTTCGCTTCTCATCCAAGATGTTTCTCTAGAGAAGGGGTCAAATCCCTACCAGTGGTTTATAGCCCGAGACCATCCACCAGGTGCTCTAGGGATGAAAAAGCCTCCTGGATGAGAGGCGAAGCATCTTCAAAGACCTAAAAAAGCCAAGCTGCCATTTTCTCAAGCTCCACCATGACCTGGATGAATGAGAACCTACAGATGCATCACCTAACTATGATTGTGTTTCCATTGTTCAACACCACAAGCGCACCACACACGCACTCTTAGACTATACTGTGAAATACGAACTCACAGCACAATAAAGTCACAAAAAAAAAAAAGTCCAGTTCATCTTATTATGACTTCACACATTTGTATTTGTCAAAAATAGGTTAGTTCGCTACACAGATACAATACATTAAAAAACAATTTTCCCATCATTTCCACCCCCGACACAATGGCGTGATTTGGTTAAGGTAACAACACAGGAAGATTTAAAAATAAGAAGAACTGTTTAAAACATTGCAGCAGTTACCTTATCCGTCTTTGGCTTCATATAACAAGTGACAACATATTTTAGCCCTTTATTCTCTTCTGTACAAATGCACTGACACACAAAAGATGACGAAGGGATTCATCAGTTTGCAGCTGGCAGTGAGGAAAGGAAATGGTTTGCATACAACGCAGTGACCTATTCAGGGAGTGTCTAACAGCACAGAGTGAAAAAGGACAACACGCCGTAAAAAGATCGGGGAGCACAAATGTACAAACACTACCATATTTTTAAAGACTATGTGAAATGTGAAGGATTTATACTGAAAGAGAACTACGTGTAGTCCACCTGAGTGCTGTACAAAAAACATTGCAGCTACATTTTTGTGCTCAAAATACTCTTGATTGTTCAGGATGTAAATGTAAGCACCTCCAGAGTCACAGTCACCCTCAGCTTCCAAAGAAAAACAAAAAACCCACAAGCGTGCACAAATACTGTTTCTGTACTGCTGTTGCTCACTTGCCTGGTGCATATTAGGGACACACTTCCAGTGTCGCACCTGCATCTTATGGACTAATAAAACAACCATGTAAACTCCTGCAAATGTACAGACTTAAACCCAAAGAACCGATCAGACAAAAAAAGAAGAAAGAAAAAAATGGTCTAAACTACAATCACAGACCAGTTATATCATTAAGTACAAATACAGCTGAAGGATCTACTCTCAGATGCCGATACGTGGCAGGCACAGAAGGGTGGAGGGCTGTGGTGGAGGGGTCCGTTTTAAACCGGCATCGGCAGGGTCATCTTTCCTCTTCCCCGAAGCACTGAAGGAAGACGGACGAGAAAGAAAAAAGTGAGAACACAGCGAGGGTGAGGGAGTGTTTTTTAGCTTCCCCCACTCCTTTGTTTAGCAGGTGAGCAAACACTTTAGAGCAACCTACAGCAGCTGGCATTAAGGATACATATCCTCTCTCGACAGGTAAACAATCTGAGCAGAAGCTCTCTTTCAGTCACAGAGCATAGCTGTGTGCTAGATTTCATTGCAAATTACTTCTGCATGCTGTTTTATATCATCAGAACAGAAAGTGCAGTAAAACAGGCAAGGCCGATAACCCTAATAATAACGCTGCAAATATCGGATGATTACTCAAACATAATTCTGGCGTGGCATCCTGCCAACGTAAATGGATCACACCTAGACTCGGCCCTGTAGCGTAGCAGCGAATGATCGTGTTCTTACTCACCTTTTGTGACGTAGAGGTAGAAGAAATCGCAGTAGAAGATGGTCTGCACGACGCCGGACACCACCGCGATCTGGTCGAAGAAGCCCTCTGTGTGATAGCGCCACACCCAGTTGGCGATGTAGAGGGCTCTGTAGAGGCCGAGGAAGAACAGGTAGTGGGTGGTGATGGACTCCGCCTCGCCGGTCTTGGTGATCATGAAGAGCTGTGGCATTATGGCCACTGCTTCCAGAAAGATGGAGAAGGTCCACAGGATCTGGAGGCAAAGGGGTGCGTGTTAATTTTAAAGCTGTTTTTAATTGAGGGAGCTCTACATTTCTGACAGACACCTTTACCTCCATTGGGGTGAAAGCATAGTTCTCCAGGAAGGACAGCCCGGTGACTGGGACCAGCAGGAACTCCACGCGGAAAGTGTCGTTCTCAGAGTCGTACGTGTTCCTGAAGCGCATGTAGATCAAGTACACCGTAGCATAGGACAAAGCCAGGAACACCACCTGAGGGCGGAGCCAAACACTGATCAGGAAAAGTGAACTTAATTGAAGACACTGTGAAACACTACAAGATGCTTTTGCTTATTTTGCTAACATCCCTGCTTTGTGTTTATTATCTATATCTATATCTATATATATCTATATCTATATCTATATATATATATATATATATATATGTGTGTGTGTGTGTGTGTGTGTGTGTTAGTGAACACACAGAGATCACAGCTGGTACAAGAAATGAATGACTCTAACTTATGGCGGTCATTCAGCTCAAAGGTAATCTGACAGGGAAATGTGTGTGTGACTGTGTGTGGGTGTGACCTACAAACTTACCTTCATGACCGTGTTGTAAGCAGAAATGTAGACCGTGAACAGGTCGAGATACCTGGTGGTGAAGACAATCGCAAACAGCACCTGAGACTTCCCAGAGATGCCTGTAATGGAAATAAAATGAGAGAAATTAAAAGTGAGAGGATGAAACAGAGAAGTTAAACGTTTCCTTTTTTTTCTTCTTTCTTCTGCAACTCAGCTGTGCAGCTCTCTCACTTTAAACAAAGCTGTATGATTGGTCGAGCAGGCTGCTCTTAACTTTGTTATCATTGCCACGTAGCTTCCACTGGCGCAGGACAATCAGCGCCATGCAAATGCCATCCTTAATGCACACAGCAGATAAGAGAAGTTTCATTGTGTCACAGCTGTTTTTGTGCACCACAGCCACACGCATACATCTTTAGCGCGGATGAAAAATCATAACAGCCCAAATGCACTGATATGATCGCACAGCACCCACACTGTGTTGCTAGTGTCAACCTACCAGCACACGACTTGGACCTCCATATCTTCAGCAACAGGATGATGATAGCCACCAAGTGTGACACGTCACCCGCCAGACGGAAGATATTCATGGTGTTTATGCTCCAGCAAAAAACCTTAATGCAACTCCTCACGGGCCTTGCACGTCCTCAGGAGGCAGTCGCTGCTCATAAAACGCCAAAGGGGTGCTGTGCTGGCGTGGGCAGAGAGGCGACAAGCTGCGCGGTCACGGTCGGACGGCTCACTCTCTGTGCGCGTGACGCTAGACACAGACTCCGTGGATTCCGCTTACAGATCCGTGTGTGCCGTGGACAGACAGGAAAACCGCTTCCGAGGAGGTGACGTGGCTGATAGCTCAGCTCTTCGCCGTCATAGATTCATTACAGAGCTAAATATACCTGTTTCCGGCTTACGACTTTCAAAGTAAAACCTTGTGCTGGTTAAAGCGCATGCTCGTTGAGAGTTTAGCCCAATGACTGTAGAAAACACTCTTTAGTACATTTACTGATTTTTTTTTCTTTTCAATACTAAGTTCAACACACTGACTTCTGACTTCTGGGTGATTATTAGCTCTTTCACTATCCATAACTATTTTTATTTTGAAGGTTGTTCCCGGTAATGACCGACTTTCTATGGCGAACTTGATGGAAGACATCCTGCAATGCACTGATTTCACAGCAGATGGCGACAAACTACTTATCTACCTATCTATATGGTGTTTCGTTATTGGAAATGGTCCCTCGAGAGCAGGAGTGTCAGACACTGGTGCCCAGCTTTGGAAAATGTGAAGGAGGGCAAATTTGGGACTTACTGTCTGTTATTAACTGTTACAGCTTTTCCTACAGAATAACCTCCTTCATGGTCATTCATACTAAAACACAGTAATTAATTAAGTAATACATAAACAATTATATGAAAAAGTACAGGTTTTTTTTTTCATTATCTACTGTACAACTTTCCGGAGATTTGTTTTTTGTTTTTTGTTCTTTTGGGCAGTGAGTTCGGCAGCATTTCTTTATCGCTGGGAAAAACTGAGATGCATTGTTAAAATTTATTTCTTATATTAGGATATCTCATGGATTGGTTAAACTTATTTACACTTGCAGGAAAGGGAGTTTCGCTGATCTGGCCCACTTAAGATCAAACCGGGCTGTATGTAGCCCATTGTAAAATCATTCTGATATTCCTGCTCTAAAGCATAGGTGGGGAATTAAAATTACCAGATGAGAAACTGGCACTGTTGTGGAGGGCTGCTCCAACAAACTAAACTCAGTTTAGTTGCTCAGGACTAATTTTGTCTCTTTATAAAGTGCTGCTGGTAAGAATAGATGCTCCAATTAGGCCATAATTGTGTTTCCTTGGGGAAAATTAATGAGCCACGCCTTCTCTATAGGATAATTAAATGTATTTAATGGTGTTATTTAAAATGGTTTTCCTTTTAATTTGTTTGAATGAATCTCCTGGTTGTCTGAAATGTGTTTTCCAAACAAACTGCATTATTTTGCTTGTTGTCTTTTATTAACTTCACCAGTGGATCTATAATAATAAATCATATGACTTACCCATTTAAAAGCTAGTGTACAAATACATGCATTGGACAGATGGATTCACATTAGACAATATTTATTACATATTCTGAGAAGTTTATGGTCAACTCCATGATTCCAGGGCACCCAGATGCTACGAATGAAAAACAAGCCCATATGAACATCCCTCTATCACCACCACCACCACTACCACGGTGTTTGATGGTTTGAGGGGGTCTGTGCTGATATTAATTAAACATGGTGCTGTTCATTGTGGGAAAACATCTCCAATTCGGTGTTGTCTGTCCTAAAGACATTGTTCTAGAAGTCTCATGGCTTATTTAAATGTTGCTGTGCAAACCTGAGCTGTACTGACATGTTCTTTTTAGTGAGAAGAAGCTTTCTCCTTGCAGCAAGTTTTTTAGTGTTTTGCATCGTGATGAACTTTAACATTTAACATGCTAACTGAGGGCTGTGGAGTTTGTGGTGCTCGTGGGTTTCTGCAGCATCTCTGAACCTTGTATTGTCTGACTTTGTGTTGAATGTCCACTCCTGCAAAGATAGTTGCATAGTTGCAAGTTAACACACCTGAATGCTCAGCAAACTCCCAAAACCTCTGCTTTTGTAGAGGTACTCCCACTTTTGGATGATCAGTGAATCAAGTGGATTTGATTAGCACCTCCTGGCTGCTGCTT